CTTAATAATAAACGCGATAAATGATGTGTTAGAAATTAACACGTGGAAAATCAACGCCAAAACAAAAATTGTCACTAAATTTTATAAAAAAGTCTTTAAATAAATTTGTTTATTACTGTTTAAACAATATAAATATCTACGCGCACCCTTTGCAATTTTTCTGATTTCAAATAATATACTAAATTAAACTTAAAAAAAAGTTTCATCAAAATCGCATCTGTTGCTGAGAATTACGAGTTAGAATTATTCATTAACTCGATTGATACCTATGTCTACAATGTTAAAGTAAATATAAATGAGCGTGCTACGCGTATGTTTCAAATGAGTTTTTCCTTTACAAAATTTAATACTAATGTAATACTAATAATAATAGTCCTGTATTTTCAATTTTTTGGAAAAATGGAGTGAGCCGCAGCTGATTTTATCAATAAAATAAAATAAATTGACTCATTAATTATTTTTTTGAGTCACCCTGTATAAGGAATTGTAAAAAATGTGACATGTCACAAAACGAAAATCGTAAGATCAAATTCTATAATTTTTTTAAAGAGCTGGATTTGTTCGATTAATTTTTTTATTGATCAGATTAAGAGCCAAATGTGAGGATATCCACGTCTTTATTTAATTATGATCAAATAAGAGTAATAATAATCATATTCAAAACATTTTGTTCCATTGTGCCTTAATTAATAATTTTAGTCTTTTGTTTCGAGGAGACAACTCATTCAATTTAAACAAATTTCTGCGTGACATTCTTTCGATGTATAAACATAAACAATCGAAGTTAAGCATGTACATTGATAATAATACATTCTTTTCTGTTGGTTATTTGTTTTGAATACGTTTCAAAAGGACCCAAAGGACGAAAAAGGATAATAAGGACGAAAAGGATGAAAAAGGACGAAAAAGGGCCAAAAGGACGAAAAGGATGAAGAAGTACGAAAAGGACCGAAAGGACGAAAAAGGACGATAAGAACGAAAGAGGAGGAAAAGCACGGAAGAGGACCAAAAGGACGAAAAAGGATAATAAGAACGAAAAAAGATAACAAGGACGAAAAAGGACCAAAAAGAACGAAACAGGACGAAAGAGACGAAAAAGGACCAAAAGGACGAAAAAGGACAGCTAGAACGAAAAAGGACGAAAAATACGGAAAAGGACCAAAGGGACGAAGAAGGATGAAAAGGGATAATACGGACGAAAAAGGACGAAAAGAGCGAAAAAGGACAAAATAGGACGAAAAGGACGAAGAAGGACGAAAAAAGACAAAAAGGACGAGAAAGGAGGAAAAAGGAGGGTAAGCATGAAAAAGAATGAAAAGGATGAAAAAGGACGGAAAAGAATAACAAAGACGAAAAAGGACGAAAAAGGACTAAAAGGACGAAAATGGACGAAAAGGACGAAAAAAGACGAAGAAGGACGAAAAGACGAAAAAGGACGAACAGGATGCAAAGGGACGAAACCGGACGAAAAAGGACGAAAAAGGAGCAAAGGGACGGAAAAGGATAACAAGGAAGAAAGGAATGAAAAAAGACGAAAAAGGACCAAAAGGACGAAAAAGGATAATAAAGACGAAAAAGGACGGAAAGGACGAAAAAGTACAAAAAGAACGAAGAAGTACGAAAAGGACGAAAAAAGACCGAAAGAGCGAAAAAGGACGAAAAGGACGGAAAAGGACCGAAAGGACGAAAAGGGATAATAAAAACGAAAAAGGATAATAAGGACGAAATAGGACGAAGCAGGACTAAAAGGACGAAAAAGGACCAAGAGGACGAAAAAGGACCAAAAAGACGAAAAAGGACCAAAAAGACGAAAAAGGACGATTAGGACGAAAAAGGACAAAAAACACGGAAAAGGACCGAAAGGACGAAAAAGGACGGAAAAGGATAATACAGGCGAAAAAGGACGAAACGAGCGAAAAAGGACAGAAAAGGACGAAAAGAACGAAAAGGACGAAAAAGGACGAAAAAGGACGAACAGGACGAAAAAGAAGGAAAAAGAACGAAAAGGACGATAAAGGATGAAAAAGGATAACAAGGACGAAAAGGGACGAAATGGACGAAAATGGACTAAAAGGACGAAAATGGACGGAAAGGACGAAAAAAGATGAAAAGGACGAAAAGGAGGAAAAACGATGAAAGAGGATAAGAAGGACGAAAATGACGAAGAAGGACGAAAAGGACGAAAAAGGACGAACAGGATGAGAAAGGATGAAACACGACGAAAAAGGACGAAGAGGGACGAAAAAGGAGCAAAGCGACGAAAAAGAATAATAAGGACGAAAAGGATGAAAAAGGACGAAAAAGGATAATAAGGACGAAAAAGTACGAAAAGGACGAAGAAGTGCGAAAACGACGAAAAAGGACCGAAAAGACGAAAAAGGACAAAAAGGACGAAAAAGCACGATAAGAACGAAAAAGGACGACTTGTGTAAAACTTGATTGATTGATTGATTGATTGAAAAAGGATAAAAAGAACGAAAGAGTATAATAAGGACGAAAGGGGACGAAAAGGACGAAACAGGACGAAAAGGACGAAAAAAAACCAAAAGGACGAAAAAGGACCAAAAAGATGAAAAAGAACGATTAGGACGAAAAAGGACGAAAAACACGGAAAAGGACCAAAAGGCCGGCAAAGGACGAAAAAGGATAATACGGACGAAAAAGGACGAAAAGATCGAAACAGGACAAAAAAGGACGAAAGAGGACGAAAAGGGCGAAAAAGGAGGGAAAGCACGAAAAAAAACGAAAAGAACGAAAAAGATAACAAGGACGAAAAAGGACGAAAAGGATGGAAATGGACTAAAAGGACGAAAATGGACGAAAAGGACGAACAAAAACGAAAAGGACGAAAAAGGACGAAAAAGGATAGGAAGGACGACAAGGACGAAAAGTACGAAAAAGGACGAACGGGATGAAAAAGAACGAAAAAGGACGAAAAAGGAGCAAAGGATCGAAAAAGGATAATAGGGACGAAAACGATGAAAAAGACGAAAAAGGATAATATGGACGAAAAAGGACGGAAAGGACGAAAAAGTACGAAAAGGACGAAAAAGGACCAAAAGGACTTTAAAGGTTATCAGAAAACATTTTTTTAAATATTTTTTCAAAGAAGTGGAATTTGTTGGACCGTGTACTTCAAGAGCGAGGGAAGTCCTGCAGAAGTAACCTTGGACCAATTTTTTTACAAAAAACTAGAGATACAGAATTTGCCAACAATCGGTTCGGTAGTTTAAAACATTATCTGTCTGATTAAAATCGACATAGACGCAAACAGATGGCAGACGGTAGACCGCAGACAGACAGACGGAAACGAGAGACCTAAGTTTTCGTATTCTAGGGGTCATGAACCGTCGAGAAAACATAAAAGTAGCGGGTCGGCCGATGGACTTGATTACAACACTTCTTAGCTTACGCTCGGGAAGTAAAAACCCGGGTATTACAAAACGAATCATTCAGAAATCTAATTATCTATTTATAAGATCGGGATGTCATACATAAAAAATACAGTAACCCTGGACTTAAACCAAAGTACCAAAGAAAATTGAATTAAATAAAAAAATCGTACACTGATAGATAATGCTTATATTTTAGCCACTACATTTAATTAGTATTTTAAGTCAATAGTATCGTCTCTGACAAAATCCAATAGAAAATATTTTGCTAAAGAAGGATCAAATGCTAGCTTTATTATCGGATCACTTTATTAAACTAAATTGTGGCATTCATAATGAAAAGGAACGTCAGAAATTAGTTACAATTTGTAGATTTGTTGAAAGATATTCCACTTTTCTAATGTTCAATCTATGTCTTGATATGGGCTTATTTTTTAGTTTTAAATTGTCTTCTAAATGATGTAAAAACGCCTACATTAGCTGTACTGTTCAAAAACTTCTTGAGGAACACCTGTTAGAATGTTGTATTTACAATTTATTATTTAACCTGAAAGACGAAGTCTATGTCTTGAGTAAGATCTACGACTGTAAAAATTAATAATAATGGTAATAATGTGGAATTTTCGGGAATTATACAAAGTTGATCCTAAAACATATGTTCTTGTTAAATTTTCAATGGAATTTTGGAAAACTTCCTTCAAATAACCTTAAATGATCAAACAAATCAGTCACATCCAATAATGATCGGAAGAAAAATCTTTCAAGGCGATTTTCTCGTCCGCTATGGTTCTGTTTGGCAATAAATTCTTTTTCCAACATCTTGAACAGTTGCAATTATAGTTTCAGTATAAGAATTAACACCAAAACAGAAAATAGGTTAAGTCACAATAAATTTTGAAGACCCAGTTAAACGGAAAGGATTTCATGAAAATCTCAAAATTCAACGAGATTGTCTACTTTTCTTACGTCGCTTTAAAAATTCCTTCCACACCAAATATCCACATGTTGTTTTTCTCCCGTCTCCGACTTTTTTCCTTATCGAACAGCTTCGAAAAAACCCCCGCCGCCCCGTCCCCGGCCAATTCCCCGCCGTAATCTGGAAGAGGCGCGCGTCGCGTTCCTGGTTTTGCACTTATCTGAAGTATGGCAATATCAATATCCGTTGACATGGTAGCTCGACGGGAAGAATCGCATTTGGCGGCGGCGGCACAGAAGAATCCAGGGACGGAGTCTGAGCCGTCTCTAGGGAGATGTGCACAGATAACGGCGCGATGAGGACGAGCGAACACCCTCGCTAATCTCGCATTGATTACGCACGCAATATTAGATAACACCTTCCGATTCCCACCTACGTGGGCCGGCGGCCCGCGCCCGCTTTAACGCCAGGGATAAATTGCGGGGATCCCATGGGAACGCGCACTTACCATCAGGGCTTATCGCGAGCTCAAGACTAGCGCCATGGTCGCGTAATTAAGACGGAAATTCCGGTTTATGCGATGCCATAAACGGAAAGTGGAAGAGGGCGGATGGGGCGGCGGCAGGGGGCGATTTAAATGCGCAGATTTTGAAACTAAAACCATACACTACAGAGAAATATTAAGTATAACAAAATTTTCACGACATTTATTGCAAGAAAACTACATTACAAATTATATTTTACAACTTCATTGGAAAGAAGGATTCAGCTTAGCACGAAGAGAGTGAATCTTCATCTTCGTAAAGTGCTCGATCTTCAAAATGCACCCCTCGTCCCATGGGTTACCATACAAATGTACCAAATCGACAACATTTCCGAACACTTTGTCCAAATCTCCATCAATACAGTTCAGTTTATTCTTGCTAAGGTCAAAATTACCAATACTAACATTACCCAACGAATCTGAACCCCAGCTGTCAATCTCGTTGCAACACAACAAAAAATTGCCAACTTTGTCCAACTTACGAAGAGCTTTGGCCGAAATTTTCTTCATTTTATTGCCTCTTAGATCAAGCAAAGTCAAACGAGGATAATTCTTGAAAGCTTCGTCTGGAAGCTCAGACAGCTGGTTGGAATCAGCCTTGACATAAGCCGGTTGGGATGTTCCACCCAGCCAGTTGTTGTCCCAATGGGTTAGTTTATTGTGACCAATATCAAACGTTTTGAGATACGGCATATCGTCAAAGGCTTTCGTCGCAATTTCGCCAATCTTGTTGTAAGCTAGAGTGAGATAAGTGATTTTGGTGTTGTTGAAAACTCCTTCTGGAATTTCTTCCAACCGATTTTCCACTAGGTTTAGTTCGTCTAGTTCAGGCAAATTTTTCAAATCTCCAGGTTGTAGATGCTTGATTGAGTTGAAATTCAAATCGAGTGATACTAGTGTCGGAATATTGAAAGCTTCTGGGTCGATTTTCTTCAGGTAGTTGCTGGAGAGGCGCAAACTTTTCAAGGAAATGGTGGACAATGAGTTTGGTGAAATGGTACGCAAGTGATTAAATTCCAGAAATAAGTTTGTAATGGACACATTTTCAAAAACACCAGTTGGAAATTCGGTAAGTTCGTTTTTGGCTAGGTGTAAGTCGCGAATTGTTATATTTTTGAAAGCTCCAGAGTGTAGAATTCTGATTGAGTTACTTTCCAAGTAAATATGAGACAGATGTAGATGACTAAAAGTGCCACTTTCGATTTCGGTTAGTTTATTCCAACTCAAATCCAAATGGTTCAAAAGTGGTAAATTTTCAAAAGCTCCTGGTTTGATTTCTTCCAAACCCACACTCGACAGTGTCAGATATCTCAAATTCGGTATATCAAAAACCGACGTTTCATATAAAATGGGAACGACACCATCAACTTGCACTGACACTTCGTCCTTACTAACAATATTTTTCTTCAAATTATCAGAAGCCGCCACTGCGATTCTTGCAGTGCTTTCCCACTCCACAAGTGTCACATTTTTGAAACTAATTTCTTCACAATCACTAAATTTGAGCAAAAAAATCGCCAAAATTACTCTAACCAGTGAAGAATGCATGGCCAATACTGAGTAATTTTGACAATAAACATCATATTTATACAACATTACACAAAGGTCGGGTTAACGGCAATGTCAAGGTAAAGTTATGCATTTATGGAGCTCATTAAAGACAAGTTGTTTATCGAAGGTCGTCCCGCTACAAAAAATCGAACGAAGCAATGATTTGAAGAACTTGATTTTTTTTTTGGATGATGATGAGCAGCAAAAAACAGGAATATGATTTATTTTGATTATTTCGAGATCATCTCACAAGTTTTAGTTTTATTTTGATTTATAATATAGCAATATCGTTTTGCTGGCGAGAGTGTTAAATAAATAATAATTCATATATTTAAAAAAAATTATATTTCACATAAAAATCTGGTACAGTTGTCATTTAACCCTTAATTTAGAAAAATATGCGTTGTTCTTTTTCTCCATGAACTCCTCAATCTTCTCGCCACACTCGTCTTCCCATGGATTATCAAACAGTTCCACCAAATTGTCAACATTCTCAAAAACTTTATCCAAATCCTCTTCAATACACCTCATTTTGTTCAAACTAAGATCAATACTTCCAACACTAACATTAGCCAATAAATCGAAACTCCAACTATCAATCTCGTTACAACACAACAACAAGTTGTCAACCCTTTCCAACCCATGAAACGCTTTTGTTGAAATTTTCCTAATTTTGTTGTCTTGTAGATCAAGCAAAGTCAAACGAGGATAATTCGTGAAAGCTTCATCTGGAAGCCTCACAATTTGATTGTCCCGAGCACTAAGCAAAACAAGGTTTGAACTTCCACTCAGCCAATTGTCATCCCACTGACTTACATTATTTTTACTAAAATCCAAAACCTTGAGTCTTTTCATGTCGTCCAAAGCTTTCGGCGCGATTGTATTTATTTCGTTGAAAAGCAGCCCCAAATGGGTGATTTTGGTGTTGTTGAAAACCCCTTCTGGAATCTCGTTCAACTGGTTATTTGCAAGAGTTAAATTGTTTAGTTGCGGTAAGTTTTTCAAATCGCCAGGTCGCAGAATTTTGATCATGTTGTAGTTCAACTTGAGGACTGTTAATTCCGGAATGTTGAAAGCTTCTGGATTGATTTGCTTCAAATGGTTGCCAGTGAGGATTAAATGTTGCAACGAAATTCTTGACAGTGAATTTGGAGCTATGGTGTGGACTTTATTCATTTCCAGATTTAACTTTTCAATGGTTACATTTTCAAAAACCCCATTTGGAAATTCATAAAGCTTATTAGCGGCGAACCCCAAGTATCGAAGGGTGACATTTTTGAAAGCGCCAGGTTCCAGACGATCGAGCGAATTACGTGATAAATCGATGTAAGACACGTTTAAATTACTGAAAGTACCTGTTCTGATTTCACTTAAACGGTTATCATTCAAAGCCAGATATTTCAAGAGTGGTAAGCTTCCAAAGGCTCCTGGTTCGATTTCTTGCAAACGCAACTGAGATAGTATTAGAATTTTCAAATTAGGTATATCGTAAACCGATTTTTCGTACAAAGTATACACGTCACCTGTAACTGACACGGATACTTCTTCTCCGCTAATAATGTTTTTTTTCAGATTATCGGAGGCAACCACTGTGGTTTCTGTCTGGCTTCTCTGCTCAAAAAGTGTCACATTTTTAAAAGTAATTTTTTCGGTGTTGATAATTTTGAGAAAAAAAATCGCGAGGAGTAGTTTAAAAGGTGATGAACTCATGTCGAATACTGAAGGAGTCATCATACGTATAATGCTAAAAGGTAGTGTGAATGGCGATATCAAGGTTAAGTTATGCATATTCGGAGGTCATTAAACAAACACGTTGTGCGAGGTCTATCTCAAAAGAAAAAACAAATACAGTAGTCTGAATAACTTTGTTTATTTCATACAAAGGGTAAAATTTTATTTTTGATTATATTAGTGTTGAATTTAATTTTAATTTTTGTATTAAGTCACAAAGAAGGAATTAACTGTAAGACTTTTTCCGACTTTATCTTTTCTGGTATTTTGGTTTACATTTGCATAGTTTTGGTTACGAAAACAATGAAAACAGGATGTTCGATGAACTTTATTGTGTGTGTAATTAAAAAGCAAAACAATACATTTTGACAGGTAATCGGACGAAAGGAACGTAAGTAAACGTTAACCAGAAATTTCAAAAAAAGTTTGACTTGGGATAATTCCATGACTTTCGAGATTATCACCAATTACAATAATAGAACATAAAATAAATATACACAGATACAAACAAAAAATCAGGGGCAAAGGAGCATGCGGGTTTTGGGATCCAAGATTTGCATTCAAGATTCGGATCCAAGGATTAGGCCTTAGCATTTATCTAGAAGTAAGAATTATTGAGCAAAGATCAAAATCTTTGAATATAAGATATCAAGAATCAAGGATGAAGAATTACTAAGGACCAAGGACCAAGGGCCATAAAGAACAGAATAGAATATAAAAATAAAAATACAATAGAATCAGATAATCCAAAATGCAACATCGCGAACTCGGGCTTCGAGTCTCAGAAGCCAAGTGTCAGGATTTATAATTTGGGATTCAGGATTTGAGATTTGGGGTTTGACTTTTGGAATTTTGAGATTCCAAATTCACATTCAAGATTTGGATGCAAAATTCAGGATTTGACATTTAAAAGTCCAAGGTTAAGGAGTTGAAGTTCAAGAATCATCAGTTATCAGATATTAAGGATCAAGGATTAATAAATTAAAGATTGGGGACCAATCAAGGATCAAGAGTCAAGGAATCCAAGAAGTAGTTCAAGATTCTCATTCAAGATCCAAAATTCAGGATTTGGCATTTAGGAGTCTAGGTTAATGATTGAGGATCAAGGAGCAGATAAGAGATATCAGGTATCAAGGATAAGGAATTAGGAGTCAAAGATCGAGGATCAAAAATCAGGGGCAAAGGAGCATAGAACAAGGATCAGGATTATGGATCAAGGACCAAGAATCAAATCACGTACCAAGGATTAAAAATTATAGTGTCAGGATTTATAATTTGAGATTCAGGATTTGAGATTTGGGGTTTGACATTTCGAATGCTGGTTTTGGGATTCCAGATTCACATTCAAGATTTGGATCCAAAATTCAGGATAGAATCTATTCATAGAATAGAATCGAATTTAGAAATAAAAATAAAATAGAATCAGGGAATCCAAGATCGAGAACTCGGACTTTGAGTCTGGGAAGCCAAGTGTCAGGATTTATAATTTGAGAATCAGGATTTGAGATTTGGGGTTTGAGATTTCGAATGCTGGTTTTGGAATTCCAGATTCACAGTCAAGATTTCATTTATTGGTTAATAATCAAGGATGACAAGGATGAAAGACCAAGGATAAGTAATTGAAGTTCAAGGATAAAGGATCAATGCTTAGGTATCGGATATTAAGGATCAAGGATTAATAATTGGAGATTTTGGACCAAAATTATTGTCCCGTGACCAAATAATCAAGGAACAAGGGTCAAGGAATCCAGAGCGCAATTCAAGATTCGCATTCAAGACACAAAATTCAGGATATGGCATTTAGAAGTCTAAGTTAATAATCAAGGATCAAGGATCAAGGACGGGATATCAGGTATCAAAGATAAGCGATCATAAATCAAGGATCAAAAATCAGGAGCAAAGGAACATAGAACAGGGATCAGGATTATGGATCAAGGACCAAGAATCAATTAGTGTGGATCACACACCAAGGACTAAAAATTATAGATTAGCCCTCAAGGAATCCAAGATGCAAGATCCACAACTCGGGATTCGAGTCTCGGGGGCCAAGAGTCAGGATTTAGAATTCATGTTAGAGGTTCTAAGATTTAGGATTTCAGCACGAGAAGTTGGAGATCAGGATTTAAAATTTGGAATTGGTTATTCGAATTTGGAATTCGAGATTTAGGATCTGGGATTCACGATTTCGGATGAGGGCTTTAGGATTTGAGTTATCAGATATCAGATATCAGGGATCAAGGGTTAACCATCACAGTTACTAGGGATCTAGAATTCATGTTTGATGTTCTTAGATTCAGGACTTTAGCATTGGGAGTCAGAATTCAAGATTTGTGATTTGAAATTAAATATTCCAATTTGGGATTTCAAGGATCAAGGATCCGGAATCAGGATTAGAGAGCTAGGGTATTACTACAGACCAAAAACCAATTACTAAGGACTAAGGATCCTTTATTAAGGACTAGGGAACAATTGCTAAGGACCAAGAACCACAAGAACCGTAGGTCAACGATACATGAATCAGGACTTAGAATTCATGTTTGGGGTTCTAAAATTCAGGACTTCAGCATTGGGAGTCACAATTTAGTAATTTATGGTTTCAGATTCGGGATTTCGGATGCGGGTTTTAGGATTCAAGAATCGCATTCAAGATTCGGATCCAAGGATTAGGCCTTAGCAGTTAGAAGACAGAATTATTGAGCAAAAATCAAAATCAAGAATCAAAAATCAGGTATCAGATATCAAGGATCAAGTATCAAAAATTAGAGACAATTACCAATTACTAAGGATAAAGGACCAAGGTCCATAGATAATACAATAACAATAAAATAGAATCAAGACGCAACATCGAGAACTCGGGTTTCGAGTCGCGAGAACCAAGTGTCAAGATTTATAATTTGAGATTCAGGATTTGAGATTTGGGGTTTGAGATTTTGAATGCTGGTTTTGGGATCCCAGATTCACAATCAAGATTTGGATCCAAAATTCAGGATTTGGCATTTAGAAGTCGAAATTATTGGTTAAGAATCAAGGATCAAAGACCAGGTGTCAAGGATGAGGAGTTGAAGTTCAAGGATAAAGGATCAATGATCAGGTATCAGATATTAAGAATCAAGGATTAATAGATTGGGGACCAAAATAATCAAGGATCAAGAGTCAAGGAATCCAAGAAGCAATTCAAGATTCACATTCAAGATCAAAAATTCAGGTTTCGACATAGCGAAATCTAGGTTAATGATTAAGGATCAAGGATGAAACATCAAATAACAGATATCAGGTATTAAGGATAAGGGGTTAGGAATCAAAGATCAAGGATCAAAAATCACGGGCAAGGAGGCAGAGGTATCCAGAATGAGGAGTGGAATTTCAAGGATAAAGGATTAAAATAACCAGGGGTCAGATATTAAGGATCAAGGATTAATAATAATAATTAGAGATTGGGGACCAAAATTAGAGTCCAGTGACCAAAAAATCAAGGATCAAAAGCCAAGGAATCCAAGAAGCAATTCAAGATTGCCATTCAAAATTCAAAATTCAGGATATGACATTTAAAAGTCTAGGTTAATGATTAAGAATCACGGATCAAGGATCAGATAAGAGATATCAGGTATCAAAGATAAGGGGTTAGGAATCAAAAATCAAGTATCAAAAACCAGCGGCAAAGGAGCATAGAACAGGGATCAGGATTATGGATCAAGGACCAAGAATCAATTACTATGGTTATGCACCAAGGACTAAAGATTATAAATTCGCCATCAAAGAATCCAATACGTAAGGTCCAGAACTCGGGATTCGAGTCTCGGGGGTCAATAGTCGGAATTTAGAAATTATGTTGAGGTTTTAAAATTCAGGATTTTAGCATTGGAAGCCACAAATCAGGATTTAAGGTTTCGAATTGCTTATTCGAATCTAGAATTCGGGATCTAGGATCTGAGATTCACGATTTCGGATGCGGGTTTTGGGTTTCGAGTTTCGCATTCAAAATTAAGGACAGGTATCAAGGATCTAGGATTAAGGATCAAGGATCGATGATGAAGAAACGGTAAATTTCGGGGGGCAAGAGTCAAGATTTAGAATCATGTTTGAGGTTTTAAGATTTAGGGTTTCAGTACTGGAAGTTACAAATCAGGATTTAGTATTTCGAATTGGGTATTCGAATTTGGAATTCGGGGCTTAGGATCTGAGATTCACGATTTCGGATGCGGGTTCGAGTTTCGCATTTAATATTGAGGACAAGTATCAAGGATCAGGAATTAAAGATGAATAATCGATGATCAAAGACGATTATCAGATATCAGGCATCAAGGATCAAGGGTTAACCATCACAGTTACTAGGGATCTCAGTTCGAATCTCAGAATTTAGAATTCATGTTTGAGGTTTTTAGATTCAGGACTTCTTTCTTCATTGGGAGTCAGAATTCGAGATTTGTGATTTGATATTCCAATTTGGAAGTTCAAGGATCACGGATCCGGAATCAGGATTAGAGAGGTAGGGTGTATTACTACAGACCAAAGACCAATTACTAAGGACTATGGATCATTTATTAAGGACTAAGGATCAATTGCTAAAGACCAAGGACCATAGGTCAACGATACATGAATCAGGATTTAGAATTCATGTTTGGGGTTCTAAAATTCAGGACTTCAGCACTGGGGAGTCAGAATTTAGTAATTTATGATTTAGAACTAGATATTCTAATTTCGAATTCGGGATTTCGGGTGCGGATTTTGGGATTCAAGATTCGGATCCAAGGATTAGGCCTTAGCATTTAGAAGTCAGAATTATTGAGCAAAGATCAAAATGAAGGATCAAAAATCAGGTATCAGATATCAAGGATCAAGGATCAAAAATTAGAGACAATTACCAATAGAATAAAATATAGAAATAAAAATAAAATAGAATCAGGGAATCCAAAATGCAACATCGAGAAGTCAGGCTTGGAGTCTCGGGAGCCAAGTGTTAGGATTATAATTTGAGATTCAGGATTTGAGATTTGGGGTTT